GCGCTAGAACCATACAGTTGCGTGAGAACTCCAAAAAAGTGGACTTAATCAGATTGTTTTAACACATACCAAGCTTATCCTAAAAATGCCTTAAAAACACCATAAATGCCATCATTATTATATAAGGTTATGTTAAAAGTCGCAAATATGACCCAGTTGTTAGTTGCTGCTTTCTAGTGAACACGTTGCGCGCATAGGCGGAGAGCGTGCATGGTCCACGATGCGTACGCGCTGTGACAAATGTTGCTGTAAGTGATAAATAGGAAAGATCTAAACAATTTTTTTACATATATTTTCTTCAATAAATGCAGTTTTCAAAAATATAAACGAAATGGAAAACACTCATTTAGAACATATTTTTAATGCAACTTGAATATTTATAATGTTTAAATTAAAAAAAAAAAATCTGAATTATAAAAATAAAACTTTCATTAAATACTTTAAGAGAAAATGAGTTTTGAAAAAAGATTGCTTAAAAATGTTATTGCTTATAAAAACTTTGAAATTAAAATTTTTCAAAAAAATTCTCAGAATCCCTTTCACATTTATAAACCTCTCTACTCAAAAAATTTCCAGCAAAAATTCCAACTTGACTGATATCCGAGGTCCTGTTGAGAAATTTTCACCCATATAGTAATTTGGCTGGGACTGCTCGGAGAAACTCCTTTCAAGGGAATTTTAAATATTAAAGATTGTTTGATCTGATTCCAAAACTACACATAGTACCGAAGAGAGAGGTTGCCACGAATAATTTTTAGGTACATTTGCCTACTTTTAGGTAAACTTTTTTTCGGCAAATAAGTACATTTGAAAATTGAATTTTTGTCCATATTGCAAAAATGTATTTTATGACGACAGCAAATAGGTGAATGCTGTCAAATAGACGAGGGTTAGCGCTCCGCTGATTAGAGCTGGGATACATCGATAGTAATATCGATAGTATCGATAGTTGAAAACTGTCGCCACTATCGACAGTTTTTGAAAACTATCGATGTCGGCTTTAGCGAAACTTCTCTATTCTTTACATCTCTTAACATTACATTTGGGGTATTCTATTGTTTGGGTATTATATTGTTGTATGTCGTCAATTAAACGTGTAATAATGTATTAACTGGGTTCGAAAAGTACCATCAAAGTCATATTATGCATTTCCGCAGTGTTAAAAATAGTTGGCTGTGGTTTCAAGTTCTCTAAACATTTATATAAGCTTTTAAAGTTTACAACATACAACAATACGACACTTACGACACCGTTGTGAATTCCTCAATTATTGTCTTTTTTATCCAGGAAAATTAACAATACAGTCGCCAAAAAAAATTTTGGTTATTGGAATTTTTAGCAACTATAAGCTTACACTGAGTTATAGTAAAATTTAATAAGCTATAAAGCCGCTTACACAAAATTTTTATAGAAATTCGAATTAAAAAGCTTAAAATTTTAATGATTTTGTATATTTTTATGTTTTGAACAACTTTTATAAAAAATTAGAAGACACTAAACCAACAACAAAATAGTCAAGACTGCTAAAAATGTTGTGGTGCTGTTATTTTGACCAGTTCTTTATTCGTTTTCTTATAATATGGTAAAATGTTAAAATTTTTCTTTGTCCGGATTTGGATATGCGCCTCCGTATTTGATCTCAGTTGAACTTTTTTAAGTATGAGTTATTAATTTAAACGAATACATTTTGTTTTGTTTGTTTTGTAGTACTAGAAATATATTATTATAGCCAATTTCTCTTCTCTGCACTTCAAAAGGGACAAATAAAATCCGAAATTAATTTTTCCATATAAAAAATAAATTCAGATTTTGCCTGTCGCTATTCAAGTGGATGCAAGTATATGTATATAAGTATATACATATATAATTCAGACGCATAAATTAATAAGTTTATTTTATTATTATAAGAAGTTCTTTTTGATGCACTNATAAGAAGTTCGTTTTGATGCACTCAAATTTAAACAATTTTATATAATCTCTTTAATTTACAAAGTAATTTATAAATTTTATAAATTTATTAATTATTTAATTTTCAAGCAATTTAGTATTTCAATTCAATACCTCTCACGACGATAGTACTATCGATACTATCGATGTTTTCAACTATCGTTTCGAAATCTATCGAGTGGCGGTACTATCGATAGTATCCCAGCTCTAGTAAGTAGAATCATGTTTGCATAAAATGGTCTTCCTAGGTGGTGCCAAGGTCGAGATATTTCGAAAAACCGTNGTGACACGTAAAGTTAAAAGGGAAAAAATCGGTTTCACTTTTTCATCGACTCTTATAGTAAATGGGCCACTCTTTCCAATGCAAGAAATCGCAGCTTTCTAGCTGCATTAGTTTTTTCACAATTTCACTTCAAAGTTAGGTACTTTCACAAAAAAAAAAGAAAGAAAAAATCAAATCTGACAAACTATTCTAGAATTAATCAAATTCGCTTGAAACTCGTTACTCGGCGGTTTTCGAACATCGGATTCGTAATCACTGACCCCGTTTTCTGTGTCAACGACATTTTTGAGTTTCACATGAATCCCAACAAATTTTAAATTTTTTCCGCCAAATTGGAGCCGCCATTTTCAATTTTGAAAAACGAACATCGGATTCGTAATCACTGACCCCGTTTTCTGTGTCAACGACATTTTTGAGTTTCACATGAATCCCAACAAATTTTAAATTTTTTCCGCCAAATTGGAGCCGCCATTTTCAATTTTGAAAAACGAACATCGGATTCGTAATCACTGACCCCGTTTTCTGTGTCAACGACATTTTTGAGTTTCACATGAATCCCAACAAATTTTAAATTTTTTCCGCCATATTGGATCCGCCATTTTGAATTTTGGAAAACTAAAATCTGATTCGTAATCAGCGACGCCGAAAACCCCCAAGTAACGATTTTCAATCCATTAAAACGTTCAGAAGCACTAAAATCAATTTGGTAAACTTCAAAGTCGTTTTTCTCGATATTTTTTTTCTGAGCGTAGGTCCCTTTTAACTTTACGTGTCACACATATACATACAACAAGCGTTGACAACAATTCGAGAGAGAAAACTAACTTTAGGCGAGGGGTAACTATTGTCTACCGTGTACACAGCTTGTAGAGTACGTGATAGAGAAAAGTTGAGATTTCTCTATTTTGTCTCTAGATAGAGTGAATATCTCCTAGAGTTGCTCTACCGTGTAAACTTAATTGAGAGAGGAAATTTTTATTTCAGTAAAACTCTAGAGGGATTTCTCTACCGTGTACGCTTAAAGCTCAGTCAGTCTAGACTTCACTTAACTTAACTTACCGTAAGAAATCATCAATAATTACTCAACACGTCAACTTAAGCCAAGAGCGGAAATATTTTGTATTTGTATTTTCTCTTTTAGCTGTTTAACAGTTTGCCGCCTAAACGTTTGCTTTCATTTATTTTTAAGAAATACCAAAACGACCGTAACTTAAGAACCTAAAATCTACAGGTTCTTAAGTTGCTTACGGTAAGTTAAGTTTTAACTAACCGCCAACGCAGTTTCTCATATAACGGTTGGCCAAAATATTAAGTTAGGTTAAGTTGCGGGAATTAAGTCTAGACTAACTGAGCTTTTAGCTTTAAGAGATTTTTGTAACTACTAACTTTTAATAAATTAGCGTGCTCAGATATAGATATCGGAGTTTTCGTATTTTTTGAAGTTTACCGTTATACGGGAAGAGCCTGTAATTTTAGTCCGATTTGAATAGTGCCCAACGAATTGCTTTTCCGTACCAATGTTATTAAGAGCACCGAGTTTGGTAGAATTTGATAAATGTGTGGCTGGTATAGAACGTTTATACCAAGTTTGGCTGCCACTGCCGCCCCATGACAGATTGTCTGCGAAAGGGAAAATCGTTCGAAATGACGGAGAAAGCAATCGAGGCGTTCAAGGAACTGAAGGAGGCGCTTACTTCCACGGATGTATTGGTCAACCCGGATTTCAGTACGCACTTCTACATCCAGTGCGACGCGTCAACGCAAGGAATAGGGAGTGTCTCATTTCATGAAGGACGAAGAAGGGAATGAGAGACCCATCGTCTTCATGCCTCAAAAGCTTAACTCCGCCCAGCGCAATTACACCATTACAGAGCTGGAGTGCTTGGATGCTGTCGTGAGCGTCAAAAGGTTCCGCGCGTATATCGAAGGGCTTCCACTCACGGTTATTACAGACCATATGAGTCTCAAGTCCGGACGCTTGGCCAGATGGAGTCTAAAATTGCAAGCCTTTGATTTCAAAGTAGAACATCGGAAGGGGTCCTAAAATGTCGTCCCAGATGCGCTAAGTCGAATGCACATGGAGGAGTTAAGCGAAAGGGAACGTTCAGGGGAGATTGTCCTTTCTTCACCCAAGTTCTCCAGCGACGGCAATGAGTCACTTAAACGACATGTAAGCGAAAATTCAGAAAGATTACCGGATTTGCGAGTGGTGGATGGAAGGGTGTTCAAAACAGTGTGTTTCCGGTGGGCGAATTAGGGGAAAGAAGCAGCGTGGAGATTGTGGGCACCGGAGGGTCCAAGGCCGCACCTCCAGCATGGAGGAACCGCAAAAACCCTGTGGCGATTGCGAAATCATTTCTATTGGCCAGGCATGGCAGGTGATGTGAGAAATTTCGTGGCGGTATGCGAACCCTGCAAGTGCGCCAAGGCTCCAAACATAACCTCCAGACCTCACATGGCAGATAGGTTTAGGTCCGAAAGAGAGGGCAGGTAATACGCACGTGTTTGTTTTTCTAGACCATTTATCCAAGTTCTTCTTCTTTAGATCGATAAGACAAGCGACCGCGCACGAGGTCATAAAGTATCTGGAGAATGACATTTTTCATGTATTCGGCGTTCCCGAAGCGATACACTCCGATAATGGCTAACAATTTATATCGGAATCGTTGGGAAAGTTTCTGCAAGAATATGGGGTAAAACATATCAAGAGTGCGCACACACACACACACAGGCAAATGCGTCGGAGCAATTAAATCGGTTGTTGCTGGCCATGATCCGCACATATCTGTCGGAAGAGGATCAACGAACTTGGGATCAACATGTATCCCCCGCAGCTTATGCGTTGCGAAGTGCGGTTCACAAAGCGATAGGATTGGAACCATATAAGGCCATATTTGGGCAAACAATGTTTCAACACGAGAGCATTTATGAGCTGCTCCGTAAACTCGATGCGCTCAAGGAAGGCGATTTGGAAGTGGTTTCCAGAAATGAACGCATGGAATTAATTAGAGAAAAATTGATTTGTGGCCTCGAGGGAGCGTGCAAGAATGGACAGCGGTCGTACAATACGAGGGCGCGGGCCGTGAGTTTCCTCGTGGGACAGCTCGTCTACCGCAAAAACTTCAAGTTGAGCAACGCGGCGGAGGGGTTTAACGCGAAGCTAGCGCCCAAGTATTTAAGATCGGTGGTGCGGGGAGTGAAAGGGAATTCTCTTTACGAACTCGAAGACTCGTCAGGTCGACCCGTGGGTGTTTATCACACCAAGGATTTACGCGTTTGAACAGCTTCGCACATATATTAACAAGGACCGGCTTTTCGAGCGCTTCATCACGGTAGGCTTTGCTGAATCGTTCGCCCTGTTGCGGTTACACTAATTTCAAACCGGTTGGTGTTCGCAAATGCGACCCTGAACTGCTTTTCCGAACGCACCCCAATCAGATGGAGTTTGACGTTTAGCTTTGTGAGGAGAATTCGCTTAGGACGAAAGTTGGCCGAGCGAGTATTTCTTTCTGGGAGTCGGCGGCAGTGGCTGCCGAAACTTTAAGTTTTGGGCGTGGGACATCACGTTGTTGGTTCCGCAGGTGAGAACTTTTCCCAGCGTCCAGTTTCGTGACCGGCGACCAAATTTTAGTGAGGGTTTCCAGCGGGCGAACACTGGCCATCCCACCTTCGCATCCTATACAACAGGTCAGGAGCGTGAGTGCATGAGCGTTATACCCTCGTTTCCAGGAATTATAAAAGGGTAGTTACAAGTTCCCACCCGAAGACTTATTGAGACTGCAGAAATGCAACAAATCTTAAGCAGAAGTCTCGCCGCTTTTAGTCTTAGACACTCAGACTAATCATTCTTTTTCGATTTTTATAACATCCATCAATATATTCGTTGTTCGGCGGACAATGATGTTTTGTACATTTTATCATGAAAGGACGAGAGTAGATATTTGTTGAGCACTGCATGTCACCATTAGTTTTAAATTTTGATAGGTAGAATTAAGACTTTGTAAGTCGCATAGTCTGGCACTGGTGTGCTGTTTTATCAGAACCGGAGCGCTGGGGAAAGGAACAGGTAGAGAGCTATAGTGGGGCGAACATATTCCCACAGCTCGGGTATTGCCGCGCAAGACGTCTTTTAGGTGGTAGGTTGAGGATTATAGCGGGTGACTTCATCTTCGGAAACCCTACAGTCTCCGAACAAGTTAACCTTATCATTTGGTGAATCTAATCAATTTGTAATTCTTGCGAGACAGGCCGAATTGGCGAAGAGAGCGAGATTAGGCGACAAAATTTTAGAAGCTTAGAGATCCATTTGATTGAATTAAATTTTTTTTAGTGTTCCGAAAAGCACACGAGCGATTGAACGCGGCCGTCTGAACAGGTCATATTAGTCGTAAGCATTAGTGTTACCATGTAAGTTAATTTTAAATAAAAAAATATGAATTGATTGCCTTACAGAAATGTGTCGTTACGGACATAGCATTGGAGGTTAGGATGGGAAACGGGCCGTGAACCGGAGAGTTACGGACTAGCTTCGAATAAGGAAGGTCTGCCATATTACATCTTTGGCGCGGGGGTCCTCATCTATAACAGAGGGTGTCGGACGACTGGGGAATGACTGGGCGGGAGCGTGATGGCCCCTGACGATTATGTAAGTGGGTACGGAATTTTTTGTATGGTGCGGACGGCATGCCAAGTGAGTCGCAAGAGCCACCCCATAGTCCGTCGAGCTAGCTCGTGCTTAAACACAAACGTACCCAGGCGGCTCGGGCATGCAGGATGCGGATGTGAGGGCAGAAGTGGAGGCGTTCGCTTTAGCTCCACAGAGGCAAGCATCCGGCGACCCGTACGCAACAAGGTAATAACAGATGTTGTAGACTGGCCAGAATCTAAGATAACGGCTATACAGAGTTTAAAGTTTTGAGTTTATGAACAACTGGCAAGTGTTCTAATTGTGGTGTTTAAGAAACTGAGAATTTAATTTGACGTTTTTTTTTTTTTTTACTTTTTCTTATTTACATTTAGCCTGTTCCCGTACTCAGGGTTTAGACAGAAATAGTCCGATGTAGCCGTGGTGTAGAATACCATCCGATTAGGCAAAAAAAATAAAAAAATGTGACTCGATAGAACTTTTCATGTCGATTTCAACCATGCCAAGATTATTTGTCACAAATAAAAACCAAAGCCAATAAAAGAGGTTAAAGTTAAACTTTTATATTTTTTATATATATAATATCTCGGAAACTATTTGACCGATCACAAAAGTATTGATGAAAAACTATTAATCTAAAATATCTGCATTTTAAAGAATAAAATACGTTTTGAATTTCAAATTTGTGGGGCTGTTCTTGCTAATTCTCTTCCGATGTGAACATTGTCAACTTGTTCCAAGTGTTGCATTTTAAAGCGCAGCGTCGTGGAAACAATTTATTAACGCCTGCCAGCAACACCTATTTCGTCTTTTAAATATTGCCACTGTTTTTATTGAAATATGTGTATATATATATATAGATATTAGTCTTTAATTTTATCTGGACAAACTTTAAAAAATCTGGACTCGACCTGAAAGCAAATATCTGGACAGTGCAGCCGAATCCTGCCAAGCTGGCAAGCCTAGCGCCATAGGATATCTTTGATGTTTTTTCAATTACTTCTGAAAATATAATAGCCAGAAATTCGATTGCTTTATAAAAAAACAGAATCATTTTAAATAATTAGTGTTTTTACTCTAAAAAATAATTTAAGCAGCCTCACATACGCGGTTTTGCATTATCTTGATAGGCGGTTGCGCATTTTGTTGAAACGCGGTTTTGTACTTTAAACGACGATATGTTTATACTGTGAGCGTAAAAAGCAACTTTTTTACAGTATTCAGAGAAAAAAATTTCTTAAATCCCTTATTATGACAAACATTGTGAATATTGTAAAAACCTCACTGTGTACTCTCTTTTGCCGCTACAGGTATTTAAATATATGCCAATTAAATTTTTTTTTTTAACTTAGGTTTTCCCAGAAAATCTTGTTTGGTATCCATCCGAAGCAATATCTTTCGGCTTTCTAACACAACTGCGATAATTCCTTCAGGGTTTTTATTAATTCAACGTTTAGCTACGGAAGGTGAAAAGATGAGTAACGTGAACCGATTTCGCTGAAACTTTACATGTGCTCTATTTTTTATAAAGATGAATTTCTTATGAAATAAAATGAGGAAGACCTTTCGCAGCAAAATGTCAAAAAATCAATTTTCATAAATTGCTCTTTTATATAAAAATAAAATAGTGTAAAAAAAAATGTTTTTTAAAAACAAGCTTTTATTTAGCAACGTTTAGCTATTGGAAGGTGAAAAGATGAGTAACGTGAACCGATTTCGCTGAAACTTTACATGTGCTCTATTTTTTATAAGTAACTAGCAGAGCACCCGACGTCGTTCGGGGTAAACAAATCAAAATATAAAACAGTAGTACAAATATTCAGTTCAGCATAAATTAAAGGAGACAAATTATTTTCTGCCTGTTTAAAATAAGGCATCCTTATGAACCAAACTTTTAGTTTTATCGTGCTTCAACTACTATATATTTGTCATCATTTTCTGTACTACAAATCTTGTTTCATTATTAATAGACAGAGTTTTTAAATTAAAATCAGTCTACTACGGTACATTCCGTTTATCTGCCTATTCGCTTAGCTGTTTTAGTATAGCAACACCTTTCCGGTAGAATGCTTATTTCGGAAGGAGATTTATTGATTATGAATGAACATTTTTCATTTAACAGCATCGCGGGATCAAAAATAACGATTAAATCTTTCCGTTTCGAAATGGTTTTAAGACTGTAAGACACTGTTTTATATATTCGAGTGATATTCGTAATTGATGAATACATATGTATCCCCCTTTTACAAACTCATTTATATATATTTTACTCTAAACAACTGCCATATATAAATATGTATGTCTGCATACCAAATTTCAAGTTCATGTTAATTATGGTTTCCAATTTATAGCTCATTAAAAATTCCACGCCTATGCTCCACGTTCTCTTTTACAAACTCATGTATACAAACCATACTATAAGCACCTACCATGGATATGTATTCGTACCAAAGTTCATCATATTTCAAGCCCCCTTTCAAAAACTCATTTATATATACCTTGCTATAAGCACCTACCGGCATCTACGGTACGCATACTAAATTTAAATTTCATGCGACATATAGTTCCGAAGTTATAGCTGATAAAAATGTCCACGACTATGGGATGTGCCACGCCCCCTTTTATAAAATAATTAATATATACCTGACTATAAGCCCCTGCTGTAGATATGTCTGCACTCCAAATTTCAAGTTGATGTGACTTATAGTTCCGAGTTATAGTTGGTAAAATATTCCACGCCTATGGGATGTGCCGCGCCCCCTTTTATAAACTCATTTATATATACCTTACTATAAGCGCCTACCATTGGTATACCCGCATACCAAATTTCAAGTTCTTGGGACTTATGTTTCCGAAGTTGTAGCTGATAAAAAGGTCCACGCCTGTGGGATGTGCCACACCCCTTTTTGCAAACTCATGTATAAGCACCTACCGTAAATATGTCTGCATACCAAAATTTCAATTTCATGTGACTTATGGTTTTGAAGATATAGCTGATAAAATTTCCACGCCTATGGCATGAGCCACGCTCCCTTTCGCACTCATTTATATATACCTTACTATAAGCACCTACCATAGGTACGTCTGCGTACCAAATTTCAACTTCTTGTGACTTATGGGTTTGAAGTTATAGTTGTTAAAATTCCACGCCTATGGGATGTGCCTCGCCTTTTTATACAAACTCATGTATATATAGCCTACTATAAGCACTTACCATAGATATGTCTGCATACCAAATTTCAACTTCATGTGACTTATGGTTCCGAAGTTATAGCTGATAAAAAATTTCACGCCTATGGGAGGTGCTACGCTCCCTTGTCGAATCCCAATTTTGTTCTTCCTATTATAAGCCCAGGTGTGATAGCAATACTCTGCCAAAATTTCATTCGATTCTGTCCATCCGTTTAGGCTGCAACCTGGCACATACATACATACATATGTACGTACATACATACTTCTACAAATATATAGTAAAAGATCTATCATTATCCCATTGTATAAGAATTTTAGGAATATCTTGCCCACAATGCCACCTATCGTGTACATTTTTAGTCCCAATATTTATTTTCAATTGGCTAACATATTGTGGCGAATACTGCGGCAACACAAAGCGAACAACGAGAAATAGGCAGAAT